CTCACATGTTGAGCAGGGCGTGGGTGGGCGAGCTGGGGCAGGTAAGGGCGGGGAAGTGGGGGGGGGGGGTACGGGATGCGACGGATGGCACGGACCCACTCTACCCCCTTGAGTTGCTCTCCAGCAATTGAGGCAGGTGGTCCGCGGGCAAGAACTAACTGCACCCAGAAAAATGACTTTTTGGATCAAATAAAAATAATCTTAACTTGTCTCTTTTTTTAAAAAGAAATATCCAACTTTGACCACTAGCTCAAGTTTCAAACAAATTTTGCCTTTTGACCAAAAAAATGAGCGCCCTCGTCGTCGTTGTAGGAGTATCCGAACCACCGCCGCCACCTCGCCAGCCTGCTCCCTCCACCACACCCCATCTCGTCAAAGTAAAACGCAGTGCGCCTCTTGCCGCACCGTTTAGTCCATGTTGCAGGGAAAACGGGGCTCTTTTCGCCATCATTGCGGATGAGATAAACGAAAAATAAAAATAATGGTCAAAAAGAGAGACCGCAAGGCGCGCGGCGCCGAGGACAGAGAGGGGCGGCGACTGGAGCGCACCGCGAGGCACGGCAAGGCTTGCTGCGCGCTGCGTCGAGGTATCGATTCTTTTAATGGCGCCACAGCGGCCACGAGGATGAGACGAGCGCGCTCCGAGATCTTATTCAATTTTAAGACGAGCTCGGAGCCGTCCAGGACGAGACGACTCGGCGGAGAGTGAAGGAAGGTAAGAAAGACGCCGCTCTGTCGCGGTCCGGCGTCTGCGTTGTTAGTCCTGACGACGGCGCGGAGTCGAGAGCAGCCCGCCGAGGCCGCGACCGTGGAGGGGCTGCACCGCTAGCGGCGCCACCGTGTGGGGGGTGCCTAAAACTGGCAAGCCCTTCAAAGCCACCAAGCCCGCCCAACCCTCGCCGCCTTTCATTCCGTCCTTGCAGCAGGCCTGCAGCGGGTCTTCCCGGGGCAATTGGAGGCGGCCGTGAAGTGGCAACACCGTTGCACCGCGCACACCGCGCAGCACCGTGCAGCACCGCGAAGACGATCAGCGTGCAGCAGTGGCGGCCGGGCCGGGCCGGGCCATTGGCTGCTCTGCGAACCCACTGCAGGCGCTGCCGCGTTGCCGCTCGACCCAGCGGCCCGGCGAAGTGCTTTTCTGAGTGAAGTGGGCGCCGAGCCCGTTTTAAAGGAGCGCTCCGACCGCGGGCCGCGGGGCTGTGTTTGGCGTGCCGGTACCGCTCCACCGCTACTCTTCCGCAGCCCGGGGCTACTGCTGGCCCTGCTACCCGCATTCCTGGGAGGCTGCGGCGCGCTCTGCGCCGCTCTGCGCACCAGTCGTTGCCGCGTGCAGCGTCCGGCCTTGATCCCTGCTGGCTGCCCGGCTGGCCCTTGAGTCCGGCGAGGCGGCGAGGCGAGGCCTTGGGCTGCCTCCGTTCGCGGCTCGCTCCTCTCGGCCAGGGCTCTGGCGCGCTGGCCGCGCTGGCGGTCTCATGAGAACGAACGCGCCCCGCCTTTTGTATCGGAAGGTGTAACTCCTCGTCGCGGCGGCCCCGCCCGGCCCCGCCAACACCCGAACACCCAACAGCTCTTCCGTCCGCAACCTAATAAAGCAAATTATGCGCTAAACCCCTCCGCCGCCCCCGCCGCCCCCGCCGCCCCCTCCCCGCCCGGCACACGTTGGCGTTGGCGCCGCCCCTGTTTCCGTCCCTTTTCATTTAACGGATGACAACGCCGTGTGTGTGTGCGCGCGTCTGTGTGTGTTCGCGGGGGTCTGCTGCTTCTCGGCTCAGCTCGGACGCGCCGGGCCAACTTTGGCCTCCAGTCCGACGCAGATATGAACCATCACAGAGAGCCAGCAGACATCGCGCGTCGCACCGGGCGAGAAATACTAAATTAAGCCGGCTTATCATTAATACTAATCTGGGGATTTGACACAGAGACACACTTGAGACACAGGCCTCCGTCGTGGCACGCCCACTTTCTGTAAGATTGCTTCTGGTGGCGTAGTGTCCCCAGACGACGTATATCTGTCTCGCTCCTCCCGCACACACACACACACACACGCACACACACCTACACAGACGCTGCGCGCAAACAAACAGGGGGAAGTCCCCTCTTGTGTTGGCCCGGCAATATTGCCCCGATGGTGTGTGCCTTTGATTGAGGCCTTGGTCGCTACGCGCTACGCCTGCCACTGCAGCCCCCCTCGCCCCCTCACCTGCCCCGCCCGGTCCCGCCCCTTTGACGCGGAGCGGGCGGCGTACATCACGGGTGGAAAACTACCGCCGAGACACGGCGGAAAAAAAGAGAAAGAAATTGCCGGCCGCCGCTGTCACTGCTAGCTGACACTACGGCACCTTGTCAATTGTTTGACGTTTCATTGCGTCGTTGGCCGGGTGTTTCATCTGGGGCTGCCGGCCCCGCCAGACCTGCGACGGCGGCGCCCTTTGCAGCTGGAGGACAATAGCGGAATCTCAAGAGCGGGGAAAATGGCCGGGGCTCCGACACGGCGACACGGCGCGTCGCCACCTCGTCCAGTTTTACTCCAAGAAAGGCACAAAACATTGCCTGGGCCTCAGCCGCCTCCCCCCCTCGGCCTCGGCGGCCTGCCCGGCCTGCCCGGCGACGGCCCGGAGCAGCAGCAGGCGGATTCGCTACAACAAAGCAACAACACCGTGGGGCTGATCACCAGGAGCCTCCCCCTCGCCGTCGTGGAGGAGCAGCACGTCGCAGAGGCCGCGGCGGAGGCGCCACCTCGATACGCACACTGCAAACCTGCTCGCGGAGTTATGCTTTAAAACAGTGCCATCTTCGCGATTGCGTTAGAAAAGTTTTGAAAGAAAAAAAATAGTTGGTTCGGTGCGCGGCGAACCGATGCGCCCCACGGAAGCGGCCGCGCCGCCGGCCCGGCCCCGCGGCCTGGGGTAGAGGGCTAGGCGCCCCTTAATCTACACTTTCCTCTACAGTTGCTTCGCCGGCTTCGCCCCAAGAAAAACAATTCCTCAGTGTTACTGCAGTAGTCGCAAGTTTCGCTTGTTTCATCTGTTGCCAACCTCAGCGGCCGCGGGTCGCGGGGCGCGGGGCGGAGCGCGAGGGGAAGGAAAAAAAAACAACAGAGAAAAAAAGAATCTGGCTTCCCCGAGACACCTCACTCACTCCAGCAGCCGAAAAGTTACCCACCACAGTCCCCTGCACCTAATCATCCCAGCCGAAAGAAGATCCCTCTGCCGCTCTGCCGGCCCCCTCCACGCCGCGTGGACTACAACACTCCCGCACATAAAAAAAATAATGGAAAAAAAAGTAGTCAAGTCGTTGAGACAAATTATCGACGCGCTAATGCCGGCAAACTTTGGATGACTTTTTTCCTCTTGCGTGTCGCAGGCACCGTATAATAATCGGCGCAGCGAATGAATCATCGATCCATAATTTGGTTTCACTCCCCCCCCCCCTTTTTTCCTTCACCGGTCTGGCCTTTCAAGTCTCAACCCCGCGGAGACACCAGCGACGAACAGGGGAAAAAAACTGGAAATGAAAATGTGGCGGTTTGATCTCTTGGATGCTCTCCTTGTTTACGGACGTCCCCGACGAGCCCCATGTGGAGACGGCCTGGCTGGGCATGGAGGCCGTAAGCCAATTTTCTTGCGGGGGCCGCGGGCACACCGAGCCGGCCGCGTTAAAAGGATTGGAAAATTGGCGGGAAAAGCAAACGCCCCCGCCGCCCCCGCCGCGCAGCCTCACCCGCCCCGCCCCCGCGGCCCCGCGGGCTGTTTGGCCCCAATAACGAAAATGAAAGCGGACCAAAAAGCGAACCTGTTTGAGTGGAGGCGCGCCTCACGCGCCAAGCCGCGCCAAGCGATGCAGCGACCCGCGTTAACGGTGTACTGCGGTGTACGCTGGTGAAAAAAAAAAAAAAAAAAGAACTTGCCCCACAAAAGCAGCTTCCAAAAACAGTTCTGGGACACCGGGAACCCCGAGGCGAGGCGAGGCGGCCTGCCGGACGCGCAGACCGCGCTGCCGCCAGCCTCGTCCGTCCCGCCACTCCACCCGTCACCCCAACATGGGCAGCGACAAATCAGCAAGGCAGGTGTCACCAGAGTCATTAGACGCCACACACGAAAAAACAAAGGTCGCTTTCACGTAGGGAACAAAACATTTTTTTTTAAAATCATTTTTATCTATTACGGATTTTTTTTTTCAAAAATGATTTCTTATTAAATATTACAGGCATCTTCATTTAGGTAATTTAAAAATATATATGGCGAATTAAGGATGGGTGGTGGGGGAGGTGCGGACCCTGCTGTCACCCCAGCCCGTAATAACAACGGAAACTCGCATTTACGAGCAGGCAGCCGCGACGCAGCCACGCGGCGCAGCCACGCGGCGCCCTCTCGTTTCACACTCATTCCGTTTCGCGCTGTCTCTCCGTCACCCCCCCCCTCTCTCTCCCGGACACACAAACGCGTTTTCACGCCCCTCCCCTCTGCCTGGCACGTTCTCTTCATCAACGTGTCCTCACTCGGCCGGCCGCTGGCCTGCCACTTGGAAATTCGCAGTGTAGGGAGCCTCGCGGACTCAATACCGGCACCGACTCGGCTCGGTCCGGCTCGGCTCGGCTCGGCCTGTCACGGACCGGACAAGTGGTGAGGCGGAAATAATGGAGAGCGTCATCTCATTCGCAAGAGGGGTGGCCGTATGTATATGTGGTGGCGGCCCGGCGGGGGGCGGCGGGGGGCGGCGCAGGCCCGAGGCGGCCGGGCGGAGGGTATTGTGTGGTCCCTCGGCCCCGGACTGGAGGTGTGCAGGAAGGGGGAGGGAGGGGGAATCCCCTTACACTCCGAAAATGGGCCGGTCGAACAACTCCAAGTCATATGCATTTGGCTCGGGGCCGCCGGCGGGCAGTCGTCGACAAAAGCGGAGTGGAGCGCTGGACACGCGTGGCCGCGGGGCGGCGCTTTGGCGCGTCACAGGGGCTGGAATGAAAGGCGATGGCTATCGCGCCATCTCTGTCGAGTACTCACCGACGACCTGCATGTTGCCGTGGTCCGTGACGGTCTGGAAGGCCGGCCCCTCGGCCGAGACCTCGCAGCGGTACCGGCCGCTCGTCGCCAGGTCCACCTGCGACAGCGCCACCTGCCGGTCGTTGGACTTGATCATCTGCAAGACACGGAAACGAGGTTAGGTCAGTCCGCGGTTTAATCCTTGAGAAGGCTACCCGTTGCTGGAGCCCCGCTTCGGGGCACGGAGAACGGCGACCCGGGTCCAACGACCAACCCCCTTCGGACCGTTTCCACAGTGCAGGCGCACTCGGCGCGGTAACGCCCAGTTACCGCGGTTACTCTCGGAACGGGCAGGCGCGGCGCCGACAGGCGGACAGACAGACAGGCAGGCGGACAGACAGACACCCCGTGGCTATTTGACGGACTGATTACTCTGGTCGAGAGTACACGCCGCGCGACACCCGCAGAGGCCAAATTGGATGATTAGCTAAATAGAGCCAAGCGTCGAGGCCTCCGCCGTGCCGCCGCCGTGCCGCCGCCGTGCCGCCGTCCGCAGGCTGGTGGAGAGGATGGGTCGAGCGAGGACAGCGGTGGATTTCTGCGAAGCGTGAATGCAGTGCACCGCTAGTGCCGAAAAGAACCGAGAGGGAACAACTTCCCACTTTCACTGTACAAAATTTGACCACATTCCACATTCAGGTGGCAAAAAAAATCGCCTGTAAGTAGGCAACGTGTGTGGCAAAAACGCCAGAAATCTCGCACATTCTTGCACATTTCACACAATCATTGTACACAAAATTTTACAGTGGGTCACCCCTCGAAAAGAACAAACAGAGCACGAGCCGTTATTACACCGTAAAAGTGCACCCGCCCTTTGATTACAGGATGCGTGGACCCATTAGTGACGGGCATGTGCACTACACCGCGGGGGGAGGCCACACTGGTAGCCCCCTCGTGGTGAAGAGGGCGCGGGCGTGAGCGTGCCTGGCCGCCGAAATATGACGTGGCTCCCCCCCCCCCTACTAACTTCATTACGTAATGAGGCTGGCCGGCCGGACCGCCGCGTCTGCCGTCCCTTCTGCAGACGCTCACATCCTTTTATTTACGACGCTGCAGTGCAAGGACCTCTGTCTCTCTTTCTCTCTCCTCTCTCTCTCTCTCTCTCTCGCTCTATGCTCCGACCCGGGCCTCGCAGGACCCCCCGTCACGTTGTGTTTACCGCACCAGTTTCAAACTTCGTAATTTTTTTACGGTATTTTTCAGCTATTTTTTTTTCTTCTTAAAAAAAAAATGTTAGCGTTTCCTCGTTGGAAAATATTCTATTGAACTGTAATTCTTTAATTATTTATTTTTTTCACGGTAAATCCGAATTGGGGAACACTGCGACAAAGGGTGCCGATTGAGGATCCGGGAGTCTATATCATTTCTCCTACCTAAATGTTCGCCTACCTGTCTATTTCGCCTACCTATATTTCGCCTACCTAATAAAAATATTGAATAAAAATATTCAATAAAATATTGCCATTTTTCGCCTACCTATAGTTCGCCTACCTAATAAAAAAATTAAATAAAAATATTCAACAAAAAAAACGAAAAAATCGGCGGCAAAAAGTGGCAATACGAAAGTCTCAAGGAGACCCGCCGATCAGCTTCGGTGTTCTTATGGGAACCGGGCCTTCATCCGACGCTCCCTGCCGCGCAATTCGACAGATTAGTGGGTTCGTATTAGGCTGGCCCACCCGAAGTGCGCGCGGTTTCTGTGGTACAGTGAGAGTCCAGATTCAGAGGCCTTACCTCAGAGGGGTCACATTGGGTATTTGAACCCGCGACCCCGAGTGCCGAGTCTAGTCAACTCCTCTACCCTGACCGCTCAGCCACCGAACCAGCTTGTCGGCGGCGATGTCGCAACTCCTCTTGAGCTGCCGTTCGAGAAATCTGGTCCCGAAAAAATGGTACTTTGAGCGGTCTCGAACCCGGGACCTGCTGCTTCCCACATCATGCTCTTAACCACTGAGCCACCGAGACGCCATGGCACCCGCCCTGCCTGCGCTGGTACTCAATCTTCTCTGGATATACCTCCCCAAGCAATTGGTCGCCGAAAAAATTGTGTATACTACCGGTCCCGAACCCGGGACCTGCTGCTTCCCACATCATGCTCTTAACCACTGAGCCACCGGGACGCCATGGCACCCGCCCTGCCTGCGCTGGTACTCAATCTTCTCTGGATATACCTCCCCAAGCAATTGGTCGCCGAAAAAATTGTGTATGCTACCGGTCCTGAACCCGGGACCTGCCACTTCCCACAACGTGCTCGTAACCGCTGAGCCACCGGGACGCCATAGCACCCGCCCTGCCTGCGCTGGTACTCAATCTTCTCTGGATATACCTCCCCAAGCAATTGGTCGCCGAAAAAATTGTGTATACTACCGGTCCCGAACCCGGGACCTGCCGCTTCCCACATCATGCTCTTAACCGCTGAGCCACCGGGACGCCATGGCACCCGCCTTGCCAGCGCTGGTACTTATTCCTCTCTGGATAGACCTCGTCAAGAAGTCGGTTGCCTCTGCCGAAAAATATGCTCATGGCACTAGCCTCGAACCCGAGACCTGCCAGTCAGGAACGCAGCACTCTAACCACGGCGCTACCAGGTTGCTATGCGCGCCACTAACCTAGCGCCAAACTTCAATAGCCACCCATCTTGCTTGATGCTGGACGAATAATAACTTCGGCGATGGGGTGAGCGCTGTGCGTAGCAACCAAGTAGCGCTGTGGTTAGAGTGCTGCGTTCCTGACTGGCAGGTCTCGGGTTCGAGACTAGTACCATGACCATATTTTTCGGCAGAGGCAACCGACTTCTTGACAAGGTTTATTCGGAGAGGATTGAGTACCAGCGCTGGCAAGGCGGGAGCCATGGCGTCCCGGTGGCTCAGCGGTTAAGAGCATGATGTGGGAAGCGGCAGGTCCCGGGTTCGGGACCGTTAGTATACACATTTTTTTCGGCCACCAATTGCTCGGGGAGGTATATCCAGAGAAGATTGAGTACCAGCGCAGGCAGGGCGGGTGCCATGGCGCCCCGGTGGCTCAGTGGCTAAGAGCATGATGTGGGAAGCAGCAGGTCCCGGGTTCGGGACCGGTAGTATACACGATTTTTTCGGCGACCAATTGCTTGGGGAGGTATATCCAGAGAAGATTGAGTACCAGCGCAGGCAGGGCGGGTGCCATGGCGTCCCGGTGGCTCAGTGGTTAAGAGCATGATGTGGGAAGCAGCAGGTCCCGGGTTCGGGACCGGTAGTATACACAATTTTTTCGGCGACCAATTGCTTGGGGAGGTATATCCAGAGAAGATTGAGTACCAGCGCAGGCAGGGCGGGTGCCATGGCGTCTCGGTGGCTCAGTGGTTAAGAGCATGATGTGGGAAGCAGCAGGTCCCGGGTTCGAGACCGCTCAAAGTACCATTTTTTCGGGACCAGATTTCTCGAACGGCAGCTCAAGAGGAGTTGCGACATCGCCGCCGACAAGCTGGTTCGGTGGCTGAGCGGTCAGGGTAGAGGAGTTGACTAGACTCGGCACTCGGGGTCGCGGGTTCAAATACCCAATGTGACCCCTCTGAGGTAAGGCCTCTGAATCTGGACTCTCACTGTACCACAGAAACCGCGCGCACTTCGGGTGGGCCAGCCTAATACGAACCCACTAATCTGTCGAATTGCGCGGCAGGGAGCGTCGGATGAAGGCCCGGTTCCCATAAGAACACCGAAGCTGATCGGCGGGTCTCCTTGAGACTTTCGTATTGCCACTTTTTGCCGCCGATTTTTTCGTTTTTTTTTGTTGAATATTTTTATTTAATTTTTTTATTAGGTAGGCGAACTATAGGTAGGCGAAAAATGGCAATATTTTATTGAATATTTTTATTCAATATTTTTATTAGGTAGGCGAAATATAGGTAGGCGAAATAGACAGGTAGGCGAACATTTAGGTAGGAGAAATGAACAACTCCCGGATCGGCGGCAGTCGAGCCAGGCGGGGTGTCGAGACGAGGTGCCTAATGCACTGGCCGGCGGACCCAGACCAGACACACGGGCCGGCCCTGTGTTCTATCCTCCCCCGAGTCTTACCGCCTTCTCTCTCTCTCTCTCTCTCTCTCTCTCTGTCCGTCCTTTCAGCGCCAGGCCGTAATCCTCGCTGCCTAACTTGCCAACGAGTCTTGTAGTAATTGAAACAAGCTTGTACAGGCTGGCCTCGGAGGCCTCCCCCCCCCCCCCCCCCCCGGCCCCAACTCGCTGCCGTTCCGTCACCCGAAAGATTCCCTGCCCCGACACCATCGCCTGTCAAAGCGACTTGTCAGATATTGAAGGCTTTGCCCGGAAAGTAATTAAAATAAAATCAAAGGGGCTACACTGCGCGAAAAAGAGTGCGGAAACGAGGTCGCTGGCGTGACTGGCGGCGACAGGGCGGCCCGTGCGGCCGTGGCGTCGAGGAAAAGCGCTTCCGATGGGCATAGGTAAGATTAATAAGCCAAGAGCTGTAGAAAGCTTGTCAGGCGGGCCTGCCTGCCCTGCCTTCGCCCGCAACTCGCTCCCGCCGTCCCCAAATTTCGCCCATCCCTTTCAAAGCGACTGTCGGATAGCAGGCTTCTGCCCGGAAAAAATTAAAATAAAATCAAAGAGGAAACCCTGCGGGGGAAAAAGAAATAAAGGGGCCGGCGTGATTTTCCCGGCGACAGGGCTCCCCGGGGCGGCCGGGGGCGTCGGGCAGGTGCCGATCGGCATGGCGGCCGCCGGGTAGAGCCTGCACTTCCCGTGCCTTCCGCTCCGCAACGCGCCCCGCCCCGTCTACGCCTTCCATCAAAGGGGCTCGGCGGGGGCAGCGCCCCCAAAACCAGGACAAACTAAAATAAGGTACAGCTCGTGCGATGGCAAAATGTGCAAAATAGCCGCGTTTTTGCCAAAACATGCGGGGCCTGGCTTCAGGGCGGTGTTCCCCACCTGCATGGCGGCCGGGTGAGATTTTGGGTGCAACGACTGTGGGACGCTGCCCCCCTCGGCCCCCAGCAATCTCGCCTTGTCTCAAACGGACCGATCGCCCTCGCGGCCAAATCACTTGCCGGCGGCTATTAGCGGCAACGAAGCGTTGTAGCGCCGCGGAGGACGCTGGGCCGCCACGGTGGGGAAACAGAGCCGCCCCGCCCCCCGCCCCGCCCCCGCCCCGCCCCCCGCCCGCCCTGCAGCCCGCACTGCGCGGCGCACCGGTCCACTCAGATGCCCCTTATTATTTTATGAGCCGCGGAGCGCGCCAGCGGCGGCTATTCAAAGAACAGCGGGCCCGCCATGAAAAATTTACTGTTGAAATCCCGGCTGCGGCTAAGCCAACTGCCCACCCCTCCCCGGGCAGGCCCGCCCCACCCCGCCCCGCCACGCCCCCACCCCGCCCCCCCCACGCCCCGCCACGCCCCGCAGGTGCGCGCATACGGGAGAGTTTCGGCCCCAATTGGTTTATTTAAATTTCAATTTTCAAGAGCGGCAAAATCGTGCGGGGCTGGCGCGCGCGGCGGCCTGCCTTCCCCCTGGTGGTGGTGCTGGTGGTACTCACGTCCACGTAGACGCCCGGCTGGTCGAAGATCTGCGCGGGCGGCAGGTCGCCCGGCACGTAGCGGTAGAACTCCTTGCCGTCCTTGTACCACTTGACGGAGTACAGTGCCTCGCCCTGCAGGTCGTACGAGCACTCCAGGCTCACGGGGTGCGAGCGGATCGTGTGCGGCGGGATCTTCACCTCCACCATCCGCAGGCAGCGGCAGCCTGCAACAGAGACAAAGACAGTCAGTTCCTTTCCGTCGCGATTAAAACGCCAATTCCCTTTCACGGTTTATCCCTTTTGCCGCTGCCCAGGCAGGCAGGTCGGCAAGTTGGAAAATTGTTATTACTCCGGCGGACTGGCAGCCTGTCGGAGCGTCTACTTTCTTCGCCACTCCGCGCTTCGCCCCGCCCCGCCCCGCGTCGCCGAATGCCAGTCAGTCACCCGGTTTACATCCCTCATCCGTGTGAGCCAGCGTCTTTTTGTTGACTCGCCCGGAAACTTTCTGACACGAATCCAACGGCGGAGCGCAGCGCGCAGCGCGGAGCGAGCGAAGCCGTGTACCCAACCCCGGCCCGGCCGCCCCGCCCCGCGCCCCGCGCTGGCCAGGCGGGTCGCTTGGCTCGGCGCAGGTACACTGGAGTCGTCCCTCCTCCCTCTCGCTCCCTCTCGCTGCCACCGTGACGAATGCGTGCCCCCAAATGTTCAATATTCATTAGACCACTTTCTATTACTTGGGACGGCACCCGGCACCACTACCTACTCGGGTACTCCCTCCCTCCCTTCCCCACAGTGGAGAACCACCAACGCCGTTCCTTCAAGGCCGGGGAGGGAATCAACGTGTCTCCCTCCGCGAAAATGTAAAGTGATTCCAGAAAGAAGAAATATAGAGCGGTCGGAGCGGCGGACGGGCCCAGACGCCACCCATGGCATTTGCATTTAAATAAAGTGGAAAGTTAATGACGATTCGGAGACAGAAAATGTTGTCCTAAAGAAGAATCACGTTTTTTTGTGTCAGTGTGTGGCAATATACACAATCGTGTCCAATTTGCGTTGCTTAGGCTTTCAGAAATTCTGCCGAAAGTAAAAACAACAACAACACAAACAAGGTGAAACATTTTTTTTGATGAAAGAGATGGACTCAATCATTATGCCCATTACGAACCAGAAGATTGAGTAAGAGGGGACGACCCAATTTCCCCTGGTGACACCGCCCAGCGGCCGCCCAGTGTATGGCGCAGCGCAGATCGAATCACCAGCGCCACTCTTTATTCTTTATTACGTCTGGCCGACCTGATTCGGCCTGATCAGGAATCATATTAGGCGAGCCGGGATGAGCACCGAGCCGAGCCGAGCCGGGCCGAGCCGGGGCGCGCGTCCACTCCACTGCACACGTTGGCGCTGCAGATGGCCGAAGAGACCGAGGCCGTGACGGAGGCCGCTAATGAAAAGGCCACCGTGCGTTGACCGTGCGGGCTGTGGCTGCCTGTGGCCTGATTGCGTGTAGCCTCAATGCCCCCACACCGAAAAAAAAATTAGAAAAAAATCCGCGGGGACCAGGCTGACTGTGTGGTGGCCTCAGGTGACCCCCCGGGGCTGACTGACTGATTGTGGCCTTTTGCGGTCTCATTTGCGCGAGGCAATGCGCCACAACGTGCTGTAATTCGAGGTCCACAGATCGTGTCGAGTCTCCCGGCGGGGCCCTGGCGGGGCCCTGGCGGGGACAGCGCTGCCGTGCCGGCCCAGCCCGGCCGCGTGTTATATTTCAAGAGGTGCGAGCGGCGCGCGGCGGGCCGTCCCCTTTCAAATAGAGCCGTTTTCTGCTGAGCGGTATACAGAGGGAAGGGGTGCTGAAACGGCCAAAGAACACCATCCCCTTTGTCCCTCTCTCTCGCTCCTTCATATCGCTTTTCAGCAGAACGTGCAGCGGAAGGTGAAAAATAGGAGAGGCGACCGGGGCAGACCGACCGACCGCGCGGGCCGGGCGGACAGACGGGCGGCAGTCGGACGGAGGGGCGGCGCGGCGGGGCGCAGCAGCGCAGCACACCATCCACAGAGTTGGTGGAGTCGTCGGCAGGCACCACAGTGGGCAGGCACTACACTGCACTGGGTAGGCACACTGGGATATTCTCGACTCGTCCACGGTGCAACACTTCGCACAAAAAAAGACCTGTTACTAGTGTTGCGGACCGCCGAAACCCTCACCTCACTTCTTCTTTTCAGCTGCCCAAAACTATTTTTTCTTACACGGCAGCTGAGTTCACCTCCGGTCCACGGCGTTAAGTCAGTGAGGCCTGACTGTACCTCGCGCGGCGCGTGGTGAGGCTGCAGGCTCAGCGCGGGGCGGGGCGGGGCGGGGCGGAGAATCCGCCGGCCAGAGCTCTCGGCGAGAGATAGTCCAGGAATCCGGAATGGAGAGGCTGAGGTTGGCCGGGTAGCGGTGCCGGGGTGCCGGCGGTGCCACTCCACTGTTCGGGCTGCGCCGGGCCGCGCGCGGAATCCGAGTAATTCGGTCGTTCGGGCGCACCACTGGAAAGCTAAGTGTGGCGGCCGCGATGAGGATAAACATTCATCCAAGCCCAAAAAAACGAAAAAAAAACATAAATAAAAACTCCCGCTGAGCAGGAACTGAGAACCAGAAAAATCGAATGGAACCAGAAGACGCTAAGAGAGAGGGAGAGAGAGAGCACTACTTGTGGGCCCTGGGAGCGCGCTGCGCAAGCGAGACAGAAGAGTGAAATCCTTAGATATCAGCACCCCTTTCATCCGGAGGCCGCCGAGGCCGGGGCCGTGATAGTCCGCCTGCCTTCCCGCCGAGGGGATCCCCCGTCGCGCATTGTTCCGCATCGGTGTGCTCTGTCTGTCCGACTGTCCGTCTGTCTGTCCGTCCGTCCGTCTGTCTGTCTGTCTGTCCGTCCGGCCGTCGGGCCGCACCTAGGTGTCTGCCCGTCTGACGGTCTGTTTGCATTTTGCGGGCCCATTTCATCGCGTTATGGAGGGTGGGGCCGCCGTGAAGCGGCGAAGAGTGATTCAAAAGCGAGAAGAAGAAGAAGAAGAAGGCAGAAGAAGAAGAAGAAGAAGAAGAAGAAGAAGAAGAAGAAGAAGAAGAAGAAGAAGAAGAAGAAGAAGACGCACGCGTGAGCCATTTGTGCATGCTGAGTAATGGTGGCAATCGTCAAAGAGGACGGCCGTGCATTTCTTTTGATAGGGAGATAAGGGACCCGCCCCGCCCCGCCCCTCCCTCGCCCCGCCTTCCAAGAGGAAGACTCGTGAATTTCTCATCCTTTTTGAGAGGGAGCAGGGACCGGGGAGGGAGCCAGTCGGGTGGACACGGAATAAGACGCCGAGGTGTATAAGGCGTATCACGGCCAGGGCACGTCGATGGCAAATAGAAGAGGAGAGGCACGATGAAACCCTGGCAGTCATCAGGCCGGAAAGGCACGGCGCCGTGGTGGGCCGTGGTGAGTTTTGGTGATTGTTCTCCGTGGTGAAAGTTCGAGGCTCCGCGCTCCACCCGTCGCGAGCCGCACCCGTAGCCCCTGCGGTCGAGAGTCTAGGCCGGCCCGCCGAGCAGCCGTGTGCGGCGGCACTGCATACTCGCCAGGCGCCTTCCGCAGGGTAGCCTTAAGCACACTCCACTTCGAAAAACAACGACACCGTTAAATTCGAGAGTGGACGGCGCGGTGTCCTGCTGGAAGTGTACGCCCCACTTGAGTGTGTGATGGCGAGCTGGCGAGCGGTGGCGCGGCGTAGCTGGGACGTGGCCGCCGCGTGGCCGCCGCGTGGCCGCCGCGTGTGGTCAGGGGGAGGGGGGATAGAGCCGTCCAGGGACGTGTTAGGACCTCGAGGGGGAAGAGGCAGGGGGTCCCCACCTCGCGGTGCCTCGCAGCGCCTCGCAGCGCGAAGGGGCCGGAGTCCACTTTATTTGTTTCCAGTCCAGGGCAGGCCGAGGGCCAGGACGCTGGGCTGGGTCCCGACTCACGGGGGGTTCCGTTGGGGTGCGAGAGAGACAGAGCACTGTCCGCCTCCCTCCACCTGTCCCTCCACTTTCCAGGCTTTGCTCCCCGGCCACTGACCTTCCTAATTTCCTCGCGTCATCCAATTTTGTCGCGCCATCCGCGGCTCCGTCCCGAAAGTGCCGCCGCTCCGTCTCTCTCGCACCCACTCGGGGCGCGGCGTGAGTGCGAGAGAGAGCGCCGCATCCGTCTGGCGACCGGACGAGGCCCGGCCGAGGCCCGGCAGACCTACCGGCGGCCGGTCGAGGGGTGAATCACTAGTGTACTCATGTGTACACATATGCCCGTACTCAGTGTACTCACAAATTTTAGAAGAGCAAAAATAGCCTGATTTGTCCAGGAATCGGTATTGATTTTCGTTTAAAACGCCAAAAAGGCGTAAAAACGTTAACAATGTGCCCAATTTGTGAGTATAATCAGGTGTACTCACCTGTACTCACGTACTCATGTGTACACCTAAACGCTGAGTGATTCACCCCTCGCGGCCGGTGCGGTCCGACAACAGGATTACGAGGAGGACCAGGCGGCCGACCGGCCAGACCAGCCAGGACCCGGCAGGACCGGCCAGGACCGCGGCCCGAATTTGGGAATCCCGGCATTAGGGCTCGGGATTAGCAGCGTGGTGGCGCGGCGGCGGACCGTCCGGCCCAGTCCGGCCCAGTCCGGCCCAGTCCGGCCGGGCTGGCTAAATCGAATAGGCCGAATGGAATCTCGTTTCTAACGCTCGCCGCACGGCCGGGCCGCCCGGCAGGACCACGAAATGGCCTATACTACGTGTGACGTCGACGGAACTGAGCGAAAAAAAACAACAACAACAAAAATCAGACCTAAAAATAGCGTGTATAAAATTATCAGCAGTCATGTTCGCCAACGGCGGAAACAACAAACGCTGCCTGGCGGCGAGGCAGCGCGGGGCCGCGGGGCCGCTGTGCCGCTGGTGTTGCTTTGTGGCGCGAAAGAATGTGCAGCCGAGCCGCGCAGAGTTCTCTTCGCGTTGATGAAGCAAGGCGCGATGCAGATGCCAGGCCGTTGTGATGCCGGGGTTGCCCACCGCAGCCAGCAGCCCGCGCGCCGCCAGGCCGGAGGTGGCTGGAGGTCCACGGCGGCCTCGGTCTCATCGGTGCACTTGGTCGCCCCACTGCCCTCGAACCGCGCAGTCAGCTCCATTTGCAGAGTGGACCAGCCCGTCGGAGTTTGTTTCAGCAGGC